ATTCCCAGCATTTAAGCTTTTATATCCTTTTGATGTGCGTAGACTAAATGAGTCACTAATGTATGTTCTTTCACAAACATTTTCCTGCAGAAATCTTGAAGTTGCCAAGTTTTTACGACTTACACGATTTCGGTGACCAGCCCATCAAGTCGAGCTACCGAAATCACTGTTGGAGGGAGATGAAGCCATTTCCCCCTGATAACGTTACAGCTGTGTTGAGGAATTAATCACCCCCACGTTCACGCCTAACCGGAGACCCAGGCCACCAGCATTCATCATTCTGAAAGCAAAGTTTGGACATCAGCCCTTTGATGGAAGGAGTTCTGAAATCTTTTGATGGTCTTGGTCCCAGATTAATCGATCTTCGCTTAATTGGATAGAGTCCGCCTTTTTTAGAATTCTAAGACGTTCGTTTCCCTCTGAAACCGATGAGACTAAAGGAGAGGAAAGCGGGAGTCTGAATAATACATATGTGACTTCCCATTTCCTGGCAGAATGTTTTCTTCTACAGTTTTATAGTTATTGCAAAAAACAAAACAAAACAAAACTGAGTTGGTATAAGAAATGGCAAAGTTTGGAAAAGAAATACCATACACGGAAACAGAGCTACTCCGAAAAAAGTTTTGGGAAATAAGTGGATAACACGGAGAAGTATATAAATAAATAGTTGAACTAAGAAATTACGAAACACGCTATGTTATATATGATAGAAAGAGGAGAAGTTAAGAAAAAAACTTAAATTTAATAAAAACAATTAGATGCAGGCAACAAACATTCGATCGACTGATGTATACCTCCTATGTAGTCCCCCTGGTAAGTCTTCGGACTTACAACGCTAAAATTAGGAGTTTGATTCCCTTTTGTGGACTCGGCAGATACGAATCCAGTTCTTCACATATCCGGGAAAAGGGTTAAAGTGTGTTTTTTATATCAATCATTGGCCCGGCATGGCCAGGTGGTTAGGGCACTCCACTTGCAATCTGCGGGTTCGAATCCCCGTCACACCAAACATGCTCGCCCTTTCAGCCGTGGGGGCGTTATAATGTGACCGTCAATCCCACTATTTGTTGGTAAAATAGTAGCCCAAGAGTTGGCGGTGGGTGGTGATGACTAGCTGCTTTCCCTCTAGTCTTACACTGCTAAATTAGGGACGGTTAGCGCAGATAGCCCTCGTGTAGCTTTGCGCGAAATTCCAAAACAAACAAACAATATCATTCATCTGGCTTATTAAGAACAATACTTTTGTTTGGTAACTATATAAAACCATAGAAGAACTTCTTAATAATTTCTATGCGCTCAACATTACGTATTTACGCCCTTTTTTTTCGGGAGCTTAATTTTCTAATAATGATTTCTCTATTACTGTAACTAAGAACCGTTGTTTTCTAGAACATATTATGCATGCGATCACTTCCATTGTTATGAAGCTCGTGGAATATACGTAAATAATATGATATAAACATTATCGTTAAACAAAGGAAAGATTATATTATATACGGGAAAGTTATATAAAATCAAAGAACTGAGTAAGTATAAAGTTTAGGCTACTATCGACAAGTTAACCTTTGTACTCCTGCCCAATAGTCCAACGATAAGTCTGAGGACTTATAGTATTTAAAATCAGGTTTCGATACACGAGGTGAGTACAGCACTGATAGCCCATTGTGTAGCTTTGAGCTTAACAAAAAAGAAACAAACCTTTGTTAAAAAAAACTTTAATCAGAAGTCTAGTTAGTATTTGATTAACTATTATTTCTATTAATTACTGGTTTATATCTTTCTATAAAAAGTGATTTTCCGGTCTAAGAAAGCGTCGATTTTAGTGAGAATTGTAAGTGTTATTGGGTAATCCGCCCCTGGTGTGACATTATGCAAGACACAGAGTTCAATCCTGCACGTTTTTCTACCCTCGCTTTGCTTATATATCCCGAATGGGTTCTTTGATAAGTTTTTATAAAGAAGGGTAATTTAACTATCCGTTAGAAAGACTATCCGTTATGAGGTAAAGACAGAAGGTTGCATCAAATAAAGTTCACGTTTCGCTCGGTTAAAGTAATTCTGCATAGAATCAAATGAAAGCCAAGTATTAAATATTAGCAATACATCGTTCAAAGAATGCATATAACTTTATTAAAAGTAAAAACGAATAATAATTGGGTCTACGAGTTCCTGGTTTACGCGAACTTTCGCCCCTTCAGTATCTCAGCGGTAAGTCTGAAGGCTAATAATGCTAAAAACCATGTTTCGATACCCGTGGGGGCACAGCACAGTTAGCCCATTGTGTAGCTTTGCAACTAAACACGTAATTTCATGAAGATTCAGTTCTTATTCAGTTTGACATTTAATAAACTATTGTATACTCCTTGATAAATCGCTGTAATGCTTATATTTAATAACTTTGCACATGAACTTACTAGAGTTTAACAAAAACAGTTCTTGTGAGGTACTAGCATAGTTTAACACGTCCCTCAGGAGCCAAGTGGATGTCTATAAAACTACAATTTGTTGAATAGTAAAAGTAAGTTCAATCCGGAAACTCCAAAAGAGGGTGGTTTTGAACGTATATTTTTGAGACAAGTTTTCGTTTAATTGATAAATATTTAAGTGAAATACAGCATCCTCAAGTCTCCATACTAGCTAGTACTAAGATCTACCCGCTGGGAGTAAATTCAGTGTATATCAATAAAGCCACATTCTAAGCATCATTAATTAAGCAATTGCCAAACTTATAAGCTTCTGCTATCACCTTGTTATGTTTAGCTTTCAATTGAGATACGAACGATTTCACCTGCGATTCGGTAGGGAAGGTCGAAGTATCACAATAGTCAGCAGTAGGATGAGCAGACAGGAACACTTTGAAAGCAGCTACAGGCATGATATTGCACTCGGCTTGCTGCACAATATCTAACTCTAACAAGGTCGTTCTAAACGGTTTCTGAATATCTCTACGTGTCATTTGAAGACTTCCATGCTTCTTGTGCTTGGTCATTAAGCTCGTGATTTCAATCACCTTACCAAGTTCAGATAACTTTTCGCAGCCCCAACGCTAAAAGAGTGCGGGAAATGTCTTCTTTCAGCCAATAGAAATGCCCAAAAAAAATGTCAGTTCAAATTAAGAAAAACCGGATTGGGTAGTTTTTTTTGTTGTTGTTGTATTTCCAACAAAAAATGTCTCCCACTGGCTCGTGAGGGGCCTGTTAAAAAACAAAACAATATACTCTACGTCCTGTCATATATTTATACTAAGTGAAATTCTAGACTAAATATGATAGGATTAAATATCTTATTGATATATATATATATATATATATATATATACTATCTCGTATATTCTCTTCGATAAGTTTATAATGTTTGAATTACATGTTTCATTAGTC